CATTTGATTTTAGTTCAGCCGCTTATGATCTACACAGAAGTGAGGCTATGATATAGTGAGCATGCATATCATATACATTACATACGTTTTTACATTCTTCTGAGAACACAGACCAAATGTTATATTTGAATTATTCAAATTATGAATGGGAGATCATTCTTCAAAAACACCTGATCTTGTGACTTGCTTTCCTTACCTTTATAGTCACCGAGCTGTAATTTATGTATTGTTTCTTCAATATCTGTATTTTTCAGTGCACAATTGCTGATTTCAGCTTATTCTTATTGTCTCTTATTTAAAATATGAATATTAATTTTTAAACCTACTTGAAAAGCGAACAATACAGATCAATCTTTCTTCTACAGAAAAGAAAACGTGCAGATATTTTGGTTTTGTTTGTTTTTCATATCTGTATACTGAGATAACAGGAAAACATTATATGTACGTCCACGTTTTGGAGTTTGGAGTCATTAAAAGAGACGTGTAATACAATAAAATATTAAGTGGGCTACAAAATGTAAACACTGCAACTTTAAACACATAAAAATTGTACTACTGAAAAGCTCACTTTAAGCTCTTAATCACTTTCATAAATTAAGTAAATATGGCATCTTATGTACTATTAACGACAAAAGAGCATATATAAAAATATTCTAAAGAGCATATTAAAAATAACCAAAGTGCTAAAATAGAAAGCTAGCCTAAATGTTGTATCATAATGATTTAGTTACGGATTTATAATATGTACAATAATTAATTCCAGAAAGTGTAATTCTATCTTTGGTTGTAAAGTTTGATCAAGTTATTTCAATTATAAAACACCTTGACCTTTTATCACTTCTCCTTTCAAAAGCCTCTAAGCATTATTAATTATGAAGTTTGTATGCTGTTTGTGTTTGATAATTCCTAGGAGACATTATCTTATCTATTAATTGGAATGTTTGGCGGTTTTTACTACTATTGAATTTCTTAGTGAAAATACAAAGATTGCAGTATTTGAAGCAAAACGTTGTTTTAAAAAAATTTAAAGTATATATATATAAGTTTGTGTATCTTTTGTAAGCAGGTTCTTAATGTTCTGCTGCTTAAATAATACTTATTTTATGCTGAATTGCAAAAATCATATTACGATGTTTTATATTGTAAGCTTTATCTTACAATTTGTTTTACTTTTACTTGCTTCATTTCACCAAAAAGTATGAAAAGTCTTCGTATTTATCACATATTACAAGTTAAAGAAATATTTATTACACGATTTTAAAACTTTACGTATTATTGAATATTGACCAACAACAGTGCTTCATCTTGATTGTCTGAAGTTCCCTAGTGAGTAACGTTATTCAATATATCACTCCTCGTAGTAAACAAGAAGTACGGTCATTTCATACAAGCATAAATCTCAAAATATTCAGCTGGAGCAGATAATAAAACTTTGTTTCTGAGTCTCAACAAGAATCAACCAGAAATATTGTTCTGTGACATATTAATGACCTAGGAGATTTGTACCTTGTCTTGATAGCAAAACCAAAAGCTATATATATCATGAAAAAATTAAAATTAGATCCTCGTTGCTTCACATGATAACAAATAATATAATTTACGCCCTAAAACTATGACTTAATAAAAACAATACTTTAAAATATAACAAATTAAAGACGCTGATCTTTGACATAGCAAACTACAAGCTTCTATGTCCTGACAAGAAGGTAACTCACAAGCTTTTTGCCTTATATCTTAGCAAACTTTAAGCTCTGTGGTTGATATTATGACACTTTCTTTGATTATGATCTAAAGCTCTCTGCTTGACACTATAACAAATATTTTTTTTTCCACTGGTATATGCTGAGCGAGCGTATCCGGATGTGTTCAGTAGAAATATATTTTGGTGTCGCTTCTCAAGACATAGTATCAGACTGCACTATCGCTATTAAAGTCCACAATTGTGGTATTATTAGTAGAACTGAGAAATATATTTTGGTGTCACTTCTCAAGACATAGTATCAGACTGCACCATCGCTATTAAAGTCCACAATTGTGGTATTATTAGTAGAACTGAGAAATATATTTTGGTGTCGCTTCTCAAGACATAGTATCAGACTGCACCATCGCTATTAAAGTCCACAATTGTGGTATTATTAGTAGAACTGATAATGGGTAGCAATTGAAGATGATCGTGAGCAAATAACATTAGTTTTTATTTTCTCTTCAAAGTTTAAGTTTATCTCTTTTTTTATTGATTTATTAACGTGTTTATCATAATTGTAACTGTAGTGATATTTCTGTCTTAAGATTGATCTTAAAAGAGTTGAAAACTCGCACATTTAAATGTAAAATTAGTTTGAGATTTTTATACATTTGTGTGAAAGCGAAGGGAGAAACTTTACATGTTAACAATTAAACTGTATTTAAAACCTTTCACTGATAGGGTTAAGATTCAATGTTGTAGGCTAGCCAAAATAATGTCCGTTTTGACAAATAAAAGTCCATTAAAAACTTACTTATTAGGGTTACGTCGTGCAAGTGTAGCTAAGTCTACAGACTGCAATTCAATATTGTTTTTCAATTCAATTCAAAATACACAAAATACAAGAAATACAAATAATATATAAAATAGAAAAAAGATCCACAAGATTTATCGAGTGTGGATCCTAAATAGATGTATTATTATTAAACAATAAATATATCATTAATATTTCCTTTACAAAATATTTACATTTTGACCTATTTTTATTTTATATATTATGCATAAGCCTTAAATAAGACGTTTTGGTTCTTCTATACTGGCTATCAGTTTCTTTAATGCTAACTTAATATTTTTTATTCTGAACAGTGAATTCACTTCATTTGGAATATTATTATATACATATATTTGGCGCTTGATACAAATAACTTTTGCTAAATATTTCCTTGTTTAGTTAGTTTAGGAAGTTTTAAGTTCCCATGTACTTCAGCTCTTGTTTCGTATATTGATTTTATTTTTTCCCATTTTTAATATCTTTACTAAATCTATTCAGTGTTTTATAAATATGTAATTTTATTAAAATTTTATTTTATAAAATATATTCATGTAAGAATGAAATGGAAAATATTTATTTATACTTGGTTTGATTCAATTATACAATATGATATCACCTGTTTGGGAGATACCTATCTAACAAACTTAAGAGTTATAATACAGTTGCAAAAGAATATTATAAGATGCATATTATCATTATCACAATATGACCATACTAAATTACATGTTCAAAATGTAACTATAATACCATTGCGACTGATATGTTTTCTCCATTATTTTTATGTGTTCTCTCCAATTTAATCTATGATCTAATATTACTCCAAGATACTTTACACTTTCTGACTTTTCTTTAATTGAATTATTATCTGTATCCTTTTTAATAGATAAATGTTTGCAAGTGCAATTCTCATAAATTATGGGCTTATTTAAAATAATTTGACCAGACTTTATCAGAGAAAATCTCATGAAGACCGTTTTCTTTACATTTAAACATACTCAATTTTCATTAAAGCACCTTCTCATGTATTTTAAATCATTGTTAATTTTTTTGAGCTCATTATCAGACTTTCCATTATAAATTAATACTGAGTCATTTTCAAATCTTCTCCATTAAAACCTACTTTCACAGAAATCATTTAAATATATTAAAAATATTAATGGTCCTAATACTGATCCCTGAGGTAATTCAGTGGTTAAATCCATATCATCCCTTATAACATTATTTATTTTAAAAACATGTTTTCTATTTGATGTATATGATTTAAACCAATACCACTTAGTTTTTTTAGAAAAAGTTCTGTGAAATCGTATCAAACACTTTTGATATATCTAGAAAAACAGCAAATGTTATTTTGTCATCATTACTCGATTGATTTAATTTATTAACCATTGTAATAAGTGCATCTTCTGTATTCATATTTTCACGATATATTAAAATTGACAATTTGAGAAAAAAACGTATTGAATCTAAAAAAATATCTTATTTTTCTAGAACAATCTTCTCAAGAATATTTTATATAAACGATAATAAGCAATCGGTCTATAATTATTCAAATCATCCTTATTTCCTTCTTATAATTTTGGTATAATGACAGCAATTTGTAAAATATCTGGGAATATATGAAATAAGCAATAATGAAGACAGGAAACGTGTGATTAATGTAGTGAAAGAATTTGCTCCAATAGTGTTAAAATTTCTATATTTTTGAATCCTCAATTTAACTATCTATATATATATTTATAATGATTATACTGGTATGAACGGACACTGTCTTTTTAAGGTATCAGGTTGCATAAATGTACAACGCTCTCTTTATAAGGCTTACGCCGATATCTTTATATTATTATGTTTTAAGTACAAAGCTACGCAATTGGCTACCTGCGCTTTTCCCACAGCAGGTTCCAAACTCCGAATTTTAGAATTATAAGCCCTGAAGCTCATCACTTATTAACCGAGGAACTATACTTCTATGAAATGACACAGTCATTAATAAGGTGTTAAAAAGACACATTTGTTATAAGGAGTACTCCGAAATCAAAAGACACTGTCTTTTTAAGGCTTATACCAGTATAAAGATATACAGTGTTTATTAGGTTTATACTGGTGTGAAAGGAAACAGTCTTTATAAAACTTAATTGGTATAAACAAACACAATCTGTATAAAAGTTAAATGGGTATGAAAGTCATAGCCCTTATAATACTTATAGTGATATGAAAAGACGCACCATTTATAAGGCTTATACTGGTATTAAAAGAGTACATTATTACAAGTTTCATACTGGTATATGATGACACTTTCATTCATTATTTAGTGTGTTTGGAACAATACATACATAAAAGCCTAGTAGACTATTCGGCACATTGTATTTATGTATCCCTATTCAAAGAGGTAGCATTACTGAAAGGTTTTTAAGTTAGTTTTATGTCATTTTCGCAAAATATTAATGCAAGGTAGATGTTTAATATCATCGTTTCATCAATTTTACACAGACGTTCTGGAACCGTACATCCAGTGTCCCGATGATATCGTTAAAGAGCTTCCGACCAATAACAATAGAGTTCTAGTTAACATTCCCCAGCCGAAATCCAACATGGAACTTGAACACATTAAGGTGTTACCAACTTGGGTCAAGGTGCAAGAAGATAATGAATTCTCTGCAGGTGTAACGGAAGTTATTTTCACCGCAACTGAACCACATACTAATAAAACGACCTCTTGCATTATGCAAGTAGAAATACAGGGTAAGTGTAAATAATACTTGTTGAAAGGTTCAATAATTGTTGGTTTTGAACATATTAAGTAGTTAGCAATGCAATGCTACAGTCATTTTTCAAATATGTGATTCAAATAAATAACTTATTTTTTTTATCTAAAATAAACTTTGTTGTCTCAGTACTTGTTTCTTCAAATCTGATGTTTAAGCAAGTTAATGAAGTCATGGATATTTAATTGAATAACCAATTTTTCTGCTTTGTAATTGAATGAGAAACGCAATAAAGTTTTCTCTTCAATTGCAATAAGAAAATCCCAAACTTGCTTTTTTTATTTACTTTCTACTTTTGTTTATTTTTAGCATGTAGGGTGCAAGTTAGCCTTGTGGTAGAGCTTTTGGATTTTAGAATTGGCGAGCTGGGTTCGAATCTGCGCGATAACATAAAATATTCCCCACACTTTAAACTGTGTGAGAGATTTAAGAGTAACAGTCAATTTATTAGCGTGTATGGTGGGTGGTCGACTATTGCTGACTGATTGCTTCCCTCTGGTTAACGATCGAAACTAATGTTCTGTTCTTTCTTTACGTTTCTGCAATTGAAGATATGGGAGCAGTGTGCTCATCTTCTGCTTAAGAACTGGCCTTTCTAGCTTAATGGTAAGATATTCTAGCATTTTAAGTTTGAATTAATACCAGTAGTGGAGGATGATGTGGAAGAAACTGTAGGTTGGCATAACATCACTAAAACTGTGGTTAACTTTTCATACTGACAGCCATATATTGTGTAGGGAGGGCCTGGTGATTATCAAATTACTGACCGAAAGCTCGTCAATACTATATTAAACCATTGCTTCTGGTTAATAGCCCAAATTAGGGAAGGCAGTAGATGGCCTTATAGATTTGCCATAAACACAAATACTGTAATAGATGAAGGCCAGATATTTGGGTTCGACTTTTCACGAGTCACAAATGAATTTATTTAAAATTCCAGAAAGACAGTCTTGTGTGTAGCTAGTGAGCACACACGCCACCAACTCGAGTAATTCACGTGTGAACAAAGAATTGATTCAGAGACTGATGATACAAACAACATACAATACTTAATTCTATATCCTATTCTTTTTCCATTTCAATATTCATTGACATCGAAAACATTTATTTGTTTATCAATTTATTTCCGTAGTTTGCGAAGTTAACATAAACGTTTCTGTAGTTTTTATCTCTGCTACTATCGCTTCTGTTTGTACAGATAAGAAGGACCACCTGGTATCAGAATTTGTAGACTTGTCTGGGGATATTCCGCATCAAGCACATCAGATTATTAGTTTTGCTCATGTAATTGTTTATTGATAAACCCTCTATGACATTCATTAGTTTTGACATTATATGAAACATATTATTCACTATGCTGTCATATATATTCAGACATACTTCAGTTTAATTTAGCAATCTTACTAGAAACATTATATACTATACACTGTTGGACTAGAGAGGATTTCATTTGATACTTACAGAGAGTTTGTCCATTGAAGACTGTAAAACGGTTGCAAAACTGCCATTTTTTTCATGTTACTGGTATAAAGTAGATTGTCTTCTGGATTCTTCGGAGAGAATTGATGCAAGTTTTTCTGGTCTCAAGAAACGCCGGGGAGAACTGATTTTGGGCCCGAAAACATAACTTTTTTTTCTACATTTCATGTGTTATAGTGATTTATCAAGTAGCATCGCAAGTCCAGTCCACAAGTAGGTCCGTCATCGAATTGGTTTAATTTTGGTATATCACTGCTGACTCCTAGAACCAAAACCAAAAATAGACACTAATTGGATATGGTCCGCTGCCTATTTACATGTATCTCTCTTTTTTTGTTTATCAATTCATTTCCGTAGTTAGTAAAGTTAACATAAACTTTTCTGTAGTATTTATCTCTGTTACGATCGCTTCTGTTTGTACGGATAAGAAGAACCACCTGGTGTCACAATTTGTAGACTTGTCTCAGTCAACTTGTATATTTTACTTTAAAATAAACATTTCCTTATTTGGACAAAAGTCTTTACATAGCTTCTATTATACGCTCGTTAATGTGAATATTCTTGCTGCAACTGACAGGTATGTATCACATACATATCAAATTAATTTGTTTTCTCTTAGAAGCATTTGTAATTTTGATAAAATGCCTTAAACGTCTGAGTATTATTCAGCATGTACTCGAATATGTCAATTAGCCATACACTTTTGCTTACATGTATGTATTAATCAAAAATCTTCACTCATACTTACTTCAGAAACATGCTAGTATTTTGCCTAAAACTTTGAATAACAGAGAAATATTTACAAATTGTGTTTTAGATACTTTTAAATTGCAACGTTTGTTTTCTTAAGATTTATGAAAAAGCATGAAATATTTTTGACAATTATTAAACCAAGCAGTTAATCTTGTACGAACCTGTAGCTGATCGTTTATGATCATTAGTTTCAACCGAATATAAATTAGGTTTTTAAAGCATTATTAGTGATTATAAGATTGATTATAAGTAGCTTACATATATTTTATAAATAATTAATAGTTTTTAATTTCTTTTTACGTGGTTTGCCAGTATAATTATAGAATTTGAGTTTTTTAGTAATAAACATGAAGCTTTTATCTTCTGTAATGTATTTTGGCGTTTTATTTATAATACCAACAAATGTTTTAGAGTATATATATATTATTTTAAATCTAACGAAACGAAATGTAATACCTTTAGTTTCAAGTAGAATTTATGCATGTTGCATAGAAAAAGCATAATTTTAAGTTTTTAAAGTTAGTCTAATATAATTTGTACAAGCTACGTCAGTGTACATAGTAACGATGATACAGACTTATCATGTTCATTAGCATTAGCTTACACGAAAATTTAATGTTTTTATTTGTTATTAGACAAAATTGATCAAAGCAAATTTGTTTATTATATGACAAATACCACAAGAATATTGAGTAAAAGCTGTGATATTCTGAATGTTTATAATATTATTATCTCTCACATGAAATTGATTTACTTTGTATGTATTAAAAAACGGATCCAGATCAAAGGTTGGAAAAATGATTCAATCTGCCTGTATACCTAGAATGATTGCACTTTAATTATTTTATAATAATTTTCACTTGTATCTTTTTGAATTTCTAATTATACATCAGATTTAATGTCATTAATTTCTTGTATTTAAATACAAAGACAATTTATTTCAATTTGTTTATTGACCAGATAAAGAGCCTCCTGTTGTCATATACTGTCCAGAATCATTTGAGGTCGAGTCTGATTCTTTATTACCAACTCAAGTTAATTGGACTGAGCCGATCTTTAAAGACAACGTAATGGTAGAAGAAGTGAGAAGGTCGCAGGTAAGACTGAAATAATTATATCCTTGACAATTTTTCCTTTTTTTAAGAAACAATTTACAATTGAAGAGACCTATTACCATGTAGACTATTTCTAGAAATTTAATATTGTTTTTAGGAAGTCGGTGACTCTGAAACGTAAAAATGCATAATTACTATGAACATTCACGATGTACCTGAATTAATAATTAAGTTAAAATAAACATCAAAAACAAAATATTAGAAAGCAAGTATGCATTCTGTAAGGTCAGCATTTATTATGAATTTCGCACAAAGCTACACAAGTGGTACCTGCGCTAGCCGTCCCTAATTTAGCAGTGAAAGACTAGACTATTTTAAAAATATTTCATAGCTAGCCAAAATAACATACCTACTACTATGAAACATCGACAATAGATGTATGTATTTTTTAAAAACATTTCATAGCTAGCCAAAATAACATACCTACTACTATGAAACATTGACAATAGATGTATGTATGTATCTTTTTAAAAACATTTCATAGCTAGTCAAAATAACTTACTTACTATTATGAAAAGTTGACAATAAATGTATGTATATTTTAAAAACACTTCATAGCTAGCCAAAATAACATAACTACTGCTATGAAAAGTTGACAATAGATGTATGTATTTTAAAAAAAAAAACACTTCATAGCTAGCCAAAATAACATACTTACTACTATGAAAAGTTGACAATAGATGTATGTATCTTTAAAAAAAAAAACATTTCATAGCTAGCCAAAATAACATACTTACTACTATGAAAAGTTGACAATAGATGTATGTATCTTTAAAAAAAAAAACATTTCATAGCTAGCCAAAATAACATACTTACTACTATGAAAAGTTGACATTAGATGTATGTATCTTTAAAAAAAAAACATTTCATAGCTAGCCAGAATAACATAGCTACTACTATGAAAAGTTGACAATGGATGCAAGTGTCTTTTAAAAAACGTTTCATAACTAGCACTTCTTCTCTAATCAGTTTGTCAATATAACCAAATTATTTTATTTCGAAGATCTGACAATTATTTTTTCTCGTACAGGGTCCTGGAACACAATTTTCTGTTGGGACTCATACTATCAGCTATAGAGCTAAAGACAAGGCTGGTAACTTTGCTCATTGTACATTCGAAATCCATGTTAAAGGTGAGTGCATATAAAAATAAATAAACTTAGTATAATTATATACATTAACATGGTTTTCGTGCAGAGTAATGTGCGAAATGAATTATTTTCATTCCTACTCTTCAATTCTTATCATCTATTTTCAACACTGTATGACGATGTTAATCGCTGTTAGGATTGATACGATTCTGCTACACTTCTACTATTTTTGTATACTGCCTTGTGTCATCAAAGTTATAAAATGTACGTTTATTTTAGAAATTTGCGTTTGTTTTAGACCAAAGTTACATTGGGCTATCTGCGTATCCACCGTGGGTAATCACACCCTATATTTTAGGGTTCTAAGTTCATAAACTTACCACTGTCCCACTGGAGAACTCTGACTGGCATTGTTCTCACATGTGGATATCAGCTGCCTCAGTAAAGGTAGGAGACAGACAGTTCCTTTACTAGTGTTACCAGTGACCCTCTGGTCTTATAATGTCCTACTGATTCTCCATCTTCTGTTTTTACCAACTATATCAAAAAGCACTTTGTTTTACATTAGTATCATGTCTTCTGGATGGTGATAAAGACTTTCCATGGTTGTTATTTTCTCCTTAGAGAGCAGGAGAAAACAATATCCTGGCAATAGAGGTGTGCCATATTTGGTGAGGTTGTTAACTTCATCTTTTAGTTTTATCCCTGCATCGACCACTACATTCATCCAGGTGATGAACTTACCATGTAGTTACTTTGCTTTCTGCTATCTGTCCGAGGACCAAATACGGTGAATTTTATGCAGTACTGCCTATGAGACAATCAGAAATACAATTTTATGACATTGTTTATTTGAGGTTCATTGCTTTCAGCAATTCAAAGGAAAGATTGCTTTATGGTTTCCAGCTCCATCTTTGTGCTGCCTGTGCTCCACCAGTCTCTTATGTAAAATATTGTTTACTCAGTAAGACGATAAATACCCAACCTGCTCTTTTGCTATCTGTGGCATAGGAATCATTTGTGATTATGATAACAGGCTACTGTCTACCATGGTCTTTAAATAGTGGCCAGGAAATTTTTTCTACTTCTTATCCTTCCCAATCCCTAATTTTTTGTCTAGGCTGGTTTCCACATATCCAAATGACGCAAGGTATTTATTCCACATGGGGGGCATATGAATGGTGATGGTTTATTTCAGTGCTGCCTATTTAGCACTTGTCCATCCATAACTGAATCCTGAGACGGATCTTAGGCAATCCCCTGCTTGACTGGTGTCTGTGGAGTTTAAAAGATTCAGTTCACTGTTTTGTGCTCTACGATGCTGCTGAGTTCTGCGATGTGTAATAGGCCTTTCATGAATGTGGGTCCAAATACATATTTTTACCATTCTAAATCGTACCATTTAAGCTAGTCAGAAACGTTTATCCTTATAAACCGATTAATTTATCATAGATGACCGTTACTTCTTTTGGTAACCCTTGGTCTCACTTTACATGCCAGTCTAATTTCATCCAATCCTCTATTTCTTGAGAAAGCCCAATTAATACGTTATATATTAAGTGTGGCTGAACGTATTCAAGTAGTTAGTATGTATACATATATATGTACAATATACATGTATATATATATGGGTGAGTGTATAATGGTTGTTAAAGAGAGTATGTGATCAGCTGATATGCTTCTATTAAGTCACAAGTGTGTGCCAGTACAGTACACATTCTATTTTCTGATTATGCTGGCTAATTACCGATTACTATTTTGTTATGTAAATCTTCTATTTTATAAGATCATCACAGCCATTATAAATGTCACATATGTCCAGTCTCCTGTCTCATGTTTAGTAACTTACCCATCTAGTATATACAAATGCATTAAAGGTTTGAAATTAATTAAGGGAGCATATCTTTCATTCCTTTAATTAAAACATTCTTATGACGTCTGAAATATTCCTAAGAATTATTACAGTAACATCGAATCGTGCATAAACTTTGCAAATAAAATATATTTCAATGTTTGTTTATAAACATTGTCTTTTTTATTTAATGAAATGCTAAAATGTTGTTCAAGTGTTTTGTTTAAAATATGGTTTTATAACACTATGACTTGCATTGTCATGAGAAAGTGAAAAAGTTAAGTCATTTTATAATTCATTTCTAGAAATTCGACGAAAGAAAGACAACACAAATGCTTAATTATTTTCTTATATATTAATAAAATATGTATTGAGTTGACCTCGTGCGTTTGAAAAAAGCTATGGTTTTTTCTTTAAAATGTTCAAAATTGTTTGTTTGTTTTTGAATTTCGCGCAAAGCTACACGAGGGCTATCT